TCACAAATTGATCTCCAGTCTCTAAACTACTTCAGGATTCATATAACAACAGCTCATTGCTTCATTACTTAAAAAAAAATGGAAGAGAGTTCATTATTCCTAAGAATTCATTCGACAAGTATGGATTGAAAATATATATCATCTAAGCCTATTTATAAGAAAAACTAATCAGTAACTGCACTTAGGGTGTGTATAGGATTCCTTCGTAGCTATCCTGAGTATTTATTAACAGAAAATGCAACACTAAACAAGAAGTTTTTGCCATCCAAAGCACTCTAAAAGTGCTTTCGGAACGGAATAAAAAAAATTGGCTGCTAAGTGCTAATTTTAAACCGTAACAGCACTGCTAAACTGGCCGAGAGAAAAGGGCATCGAGTTTGAATCATTTTCCCAACTTAACCAATGATAAGAAATTGTGAGAAAAAGGAAAAGAAATGGCCAAATGGGTACTCACCACTCTTAAAATGCGGTTCTGGGAATGAGATTTCTTGGCTTCATGAGCTGCTAAGCGGAACAAATTGGTGAGATCTGCTTGACCAGAAGAGACGGTAGTAGCCGAGAGAGCTCGAACCGCAGCAATGGTAGACTCAACATCACTGCTGAACTCTTTTCTAAGCTATGAAAATTAAAATTAAAGATATAAATACAAATTAAAAAACACTAATTTTCAGATCAATTAAGGCCAAGATTATAATCAAATCTGGAAAAGGTAGAAAAGAAAAAGAGGGAGAGGAATGCACCCAAGAGGCGGATTTGGAGAGAGTGGAGAAAACGAAGCGACATAATCATCTAATAATTTTCCCTTGGCATAGATTCTTGAACCCCTTTCCCTTCCGAGTCACCAGTAATATAACAAAACATCTCCGGTTCAGCCGCTTGGCTTCTTGTTTACGAGTATTAGTATTTTCAAACGGCTCTAACAAAGTTTTAGGGTTTTAAAGTTTTAGCCACTTGCTGCCTCGCTTAACAGTGAGAAACCAAGAACAAACAGAACTCTTCACGCAAGTATGCCCTCTTTATTTTCTATTTCGCTTTATTCGTTGTTTTCGTATCCAGTTATTGAATTCTACTTTCGAGTATGTACTTCTTGGTTCTTGCCACGTCTTTTCTTTAGCCTGCTATTCGTATTATTATTAGATTTATTGCTTCATTATTTATACTAACCTATACGATTCTACAGAATAAAAAAGATTGTTATTTTATTTTTTGTTTGTGTTTAAGGTTCTCTTTGTTTTTAGTCGATACATGTTTCAGTGTAGACTTAAGAATTTTTTTGAGTGTCGGTCGGTCTCCTGCTAGAACTTCACTTTTTCAATGCAAAATTACATTTTTTTCTCTTTCCCTTCTCATATCTACTCTTAAAGGCTGTTCATTTTTTTTCTCTAGAAAAAAAATGATGTTGGTATGGATTTTTCATTTTAATACTCCATTATTCCCTGGTGAATTCGTAGGAAATTTGAGAGCAATACTATCGTAAAGGCAGAACGCAGGCTTGTGGTGGAGCTGCGATGATGGGTTATTTGCAACAGCCCATGAGGGTTAATAAACCAGCATTCCCTTTAAAAGTATCTAATATTACTGGATTCTGGCGCCAGATTAAGCTTAACTCAGTGAAACCCTGTAGAGCTCAACTCGAAGGCAGCTTAGTTACTGGGAGGTCTAGCTCTTCACCCTCTGTCCCGGTGCTCGAAAACAGATTTGTGGACCATGGCCTCAGTGAAGCTGATCCTGAGTTATGCTCAATTATTAGTAAGGAGAAGGAGAGGCAGTTCAAAAGCCTTGAGCTTATTGCCTCTGAGAATTTTACATCCCGTGCAGTGATGGAGGCAGTTGGGTCATGTCTCACAAACAAATATTCTGAAGGACTGCCTGGTAAAAGGTATATCTAATTGAGCAAGGTGCATAGAGATTTAATGCGTTATTTGGTTTTGATTTAATGGGTTGCAACCAATGATCTTTTTGTTAATTGCAGGTACTATGGTGGTAATGAGTAAATTGATGAACTTGTAATACTTTGCCAGAAGAGGGCTTTGGCAGCATTTCACTTGGACGAAAAGAAGTGGGGCGTCAATGTTCAACCATTGTCAGGTTCTCCTGCTAATTTTGAGGTTTATACAGCTATTCTAAATCCACATGATCGAATAATGGTAAGCTACTTCTGCCTGTTTTAACTGCTTTAATTTAGTTGTTGTTGCCCGCGGTTGGATGGTGCTCAAATCAATGGTTTCCCGATAAAACCTGCATATGGTCTTGACTTACCTCATGGGGGACATTTGTCACATGGATTTATGACCCCTAAAAGACGAGTATCTGGCACATCAATCTATTTCGAGTCAATGCCTTATCGTCTTGATGAATCCACAAGTTATTCCTCATTGTTTGACTTACTGAGCTTTATTGGTTGGTATGCTTGCCTGGTGGTTAATATCAATTTGTTTGAATTCTAAAACAGGTCTTGTTGATTACGATATGCTTGAAAAAACAGCTACCCTGTTTCGACCAAAACTCATAATTGCTGGTGCCAGTGCACATCCTCGTGATTTTGATTATCCACGTATGAGGAAAGTAAGTAGGATGCTTGCTGGTTGTGCTATACTATGCCTATCATTGTTTAGCTATCTTTTAAAGAAAACTCATTTTTATATATGCTTTGTATCCTTCTTTTAGCTTGTAACTTATTGGAGTTGATATCTATTGGAAGATTGCAGATGCTGTTGGTGCATTTCTCATGATGGATATGGCTCATATAAGTGGACTTGTTGCTGCTTCTGTAGTTGCTGACCCCTTTGAATATTGTGATATTGTGACAACAACCACACACAAGGTTCGGAATGGATATATATTTTTTTGTAAGAGGAATGGATATATTCAATTGCTGTGTTGACGTCTATTTATGTCAATCACTTAACATGCTGCTAATTTTGCTTGTTGAAATATTTATAACTAGTGTACTCAAGAATATGTACTCCCTTCTTGCATGACAAATCTCACTTTATTTTTTTCCCTATTTCTTTTGATCCTTTCCCTCGTCTAGCCAAGATTTAGTTATTATAAACAATTTACTCCCTTTGCAGTAATGTCCATATAGAATAAATTAATTTTCTTACTTATTTCCAGTCTTTGAGAGGACCCAGAGGTGGCATGATCTTCTTCAAGAAGGATAATGTTCATGGAGTTGATCTAGAATCTGCCATCAATAATGCTGTTTTTCCAGGACTACAGGTTAGTTTGACTCGGCTCATTGGCTCCTGTTGCCAATATGAATTCCGCTATTCCAACTTCCTTCTGGCTCTCAAAGTACAAGCTGAGATTTTTAAGTTTTGAACTAGCTATGTCATGAGACGCCTGATAAGGTTGTCTATGCAGGGTGGTCCTCATAACCACACAATTGGTGGGCTAGCAGTTTGCTTAAAACATGCACAATTGCCTGAGTTCAAGGCTTACCAGAATCAGGTACTCTCCTTAAAGAAAAAAAATTGTTGAAGTTCTTGGTCAAATCTAATATGGGTACTTCATCGTGCAGGTAGTGTCGAATTGTAGAGCTCTTGCAAATCGATTGGTTGAACTTGGCTATACATTGGTTTCTGGTGGCAGTGACAATCATCTTGTACTTGTGGATCTAAGGCCATTGGTCAGTTCCCATCTCTCTTCACATTCTTTTTTCCGATTATTTGCTTGACACCCTAAGCTCCCTTTGCCTCTTCCTTTTTATTAAATTAATCTCTCTTTTCATAGGGGGTTGATGGTGCTCGGGTCGAGAAAATACTTGACATGGCCTTTATCACCTTGAACAAAAATTCGGTACCTGGTATGTTGCCTTATTTGCGTTTATGTATATTTGACCAGTGCTTATACATCTTAAAATATTGCTTTGCAGGGGATAAGAGTGCACTTGTTCCTGGTGGCATTCGCATCGGATCACCTGCTATGACCACTCGAGGATTTAAAGAAAAGAAATTTATAGCCATTGCGGACTTCATCCACGAGGGTGTGCAAATTACTATTGATGCTAAAGGATTGGTTTCTCGGTCGTCAAAGCTTCAAGAATTCTTGAAGTTTGTGGTGGCTCCGGAGTTTCCGTTGACGGACAAGGTGTCGAATCTCCGTAGTAGAGTCGAAGAGCTTACAACCCGATTTCCAATTCCTGGTGTATGAATGACACAGGTTCACTTTACTAAGTACTTACTCCGTTATAAGAAACATCAGAACAAGGTGAAATCAAGCATAGATTTTTAAACCTGGCATTGATGCTAAGCTTTTTAATGTTAAAGCCAATGAAATGAAAATAATCATAAATTGATATTTCAATGGGATTCTAATTTAGAAATCCTTGTAAGTTTTTGAATAGGTTTTGAATTGAAATGCCGTTACTACCCCAAAAAAGGGGGGACAAATGGATAAAATGGTATCCTTCAAAAAACAAACATGACTTTAGATCTGAAATCAGACTTTCCCTCTATTATCATTTAGTACAATTTAGGTTTAAAAAAGAAATGGTATTGTTGTGTTTTATACGAGGTCTTTGGGCACAGCTGGCCGGCTAATTATTGAGCGACTTTCCCTCTATTATCATTTAGTACAACATTTCGAACTCGAGAATTCTAAGAATAACGACCCCACACCTCCTATAATTATTGAGATCATTTTAGGGTCATTTCAAATGGAATATTTTGATTAAAAATTGTTCTCATAATATTTTAATTATTATTAATAATGATAATCACATTTTGTATCGATTCTTCACATAACTAAATTTGAATATATTAGACAAACTTGTTGAGCAGAGAGTAGCAATTAAAAGATTTAACTGTTACACTACCTTCAACAAATGAGGTTCTAAATTTGAAAAAGAAAAACGTGATCAAAGACCAATACGAATGCAGATTTTGTCTGATGTAAGATTATTACCAACGTCCACCAGCCACTTCTAGATCATATCAAATATAAAATAATAATAGTCGTCAAATTATACCGAAAACATAAACGAGCGAGACAAACAGAGCATCTGAAACATCCGAGTAAAACACTAGCATATCTTAGTAACACATTGCAAGAACTATAGCTACATCTAACTGTTGTACAATAAAACCATTTGCATTAAGTACTAAAATATAAATTTGACTAATCAAGATTGGGGCGATGCATTTCCACCCCCATCTTGTTTCCCAGTTTCAGAAGCTGGCGCAGCCTCATAAGTTCCATGAGTGCTCCCACTTGCATTCCCGTCAGCAGGATATGCAGGAGGCTGTGAGTAACCACTAGCATAAGAGGCATTATAAGGCGCTCCATAGGGTGGTGCAGCATATCCTGGCTGAACTGATGCAGCACCATAAGTGGACGATTGAGTCCGTTGTGAGCCTGATTCCGGTTGACCATAACCAGATGAGGGTGGCTGCGAATGATATCCTGGCTGGCCATAGCTTCCTGGAGTGGTAGGCGACTGCTGAGTCTGCCCATAGGCAGAGTTATTAACCAATGGTTTCTTCCCTTGTGCTGGTCCATATCCTCCATAGCCAGACTGAGCCGGTGGTTGACTCCCATACCCAGCCTGTGAAGTTCCAGCTTGAGTACTTCCTTGAGGTGGATAACTGCCAGGATTTGGGCTAGCCATCTGACTAGTATTGTACCCTTGCTGGCCCATTGCAGATGGTTGGGTAGAAGTAGGTGCTTGGCCAGAATCCCCTTGACCGGCATAGGAAGGAGTTTGACCCTCCAGACTTGGGTCCGTTGAAGCACCATAGCTCGGTGCAGAGCCATAACCCTGTTGGTCATATGATGATGGCTGCCCATAACCTGATTGAGGAGGTGCATTGTATCCACCATACCCATCCTGACCATAGCCTTGTCCTGGTTGCATGTAGCCAGAAGCTGGAGGTTGACTGTAATGGTAACCACTGTTATCGGCAGGAGCTGCTGAATCACCAGGTGCTTGCTGCTGCTGTGAAGAAGACTGTTGATTATAGTAATCATAACCACCTGCAGAGGAACTTTGTGGGTTTGGTGGCATAGACTGGTCCCAACCAGAGGCATATCCACCAGATGACGGTTGGGAAGGATAGCCCCCATAAGGTGGCTGAGACATGTTATACTGTGGTGATGGGCCAGGATATCCCCCAGGTTGCATATAACCATATCCAGCTTGCTGCATTGGAGGAGCCCCTTGGCCCCAGCTTGGAGGTGGTCGTGCTTGATAACCTTGTTGTTGATAGCCTCCAGCCATTGCCGGATTTCTCATACGATTCTGCACAAAATTGTTTCCGCAAATAACTTATGTTTGCTTTAAAATGATGCTGCACATGAACACATAACAGCAAAACAGGATATGCACCTATATACAAATAAAATTTACCAAAAAACAACTAAATGGCAAGTATCAAAATCAGCATAAAACAGCAAAATATGACCTGTGGATTTAATGGAGTTTGTACAATAGTTTGAAGGGTTTAAATGCCCACATACCGTATGGTTGGAGAGAATATTGAGTTTTACTCCAGCAGAAGCCCATCCCTCCTTAATCGAAGTGAATGTGTGCAAAAAGAAAAGAGAACCCCAGAAATACTAATAGAAACATAAATATCAAAGAAAAAATAACTATGAACTACATTGCCGCATACAGGCAAGACACCCATAGTTAAAAGTACACTACATATTATCTATCTGATACACACACATTAAGCGAATAATGTCTCTTAATAAAATTCTCTATACCAAAAAAGGGAAAAATTCATTACAGATCAAACATTTATAAGAGACTATCAGATCATTTAGAATATATAACCCGTATCATTGAAAAAATGGATTTTACTAAATACATGAACCCTTGCCATATATCGTGTAGAATTCTGACATGAAATACTATAGCTGGGTTAATTGTATACAAGTTTCTGGAAAAAAAATGTTCACAAACTAATAAGTTATTTTAACCAAACAGCTTTAATACAGGAATAAATCAGATAAACAATAATGCAGAAAGAAAAAACTTCCATCATATACACCACCTCAAAGTTGTGTTTTTCTGGATTAAAAAAACAACTTAATAATGAATAAGGTCAAATCCAAAGAAAAAAAAATGACAGGGTTAAAATTAAATCTAGCAAAGCCACAAAACAAAAGGATGATATTTAGAAATATCTAGGGGGCTGAGACAAGGGTGTTCTTTATCCCTGTTCCTGTTTAATCTAGTGGGTGAATTTTTGAATTTGTTGTTGTCTAAAGCACAGCAGTTTGGGGCTGTTTGAGGGTTTTCAAATAGGTTCTGATAATTCCTCTTCGATGCTGACTCATTTACAATTTGTGGATGACTTGATCATATTTTGTAAAGCTTCTACGGGGCAGTTAGCAAATCTGAAGAGGGTCTTGGTTGTATTTGAGTTGTGTACAGGGCTACAACTGAATCTGGTGAAGAGCAGAATTTTTGGTATTAATTTACAAGATCAGATTGTTGGGGAGTGGGCAGAATCTATTGGTTGCTTAAGAGACTCTTTTCCGACAGAATATTTGGGATTACAATTGGGAGCAAATAGAAATTCTATTCAACTATGGGATCCGATTGTGAAGAAGTTCTACCAGAAATTGGCAGGCTGGAAATTATCTTATCTATCCATAGCAGGGAGGACAGTTTTGATAAAATCAGTAATAAATTCACTCCCTAATTATGGCCAACTTCTTGTGGGGTTCTTCGGCTGAGAAGAAAAGGTTTCATTGGGTTAACTGGAATGCTGTTTGTAAAAATAAAGAGTTGGGGGATTGGGAATTTCGGATCTTTAGCTACGGAATAGAGCTTTACTGGGCAAATGGGTATGGAAGTTTGGTTCGGAGGACTCTTGGTGGAAGACAATGATATGTTCCAAGTATAATGTGGGAACGAGTTCTATTGTTTTAGATGATAATTTGCCCTCTAATGTGTCTTGGATTTGGAAAGGTGTTGTAAATAACTATCGGACTAATGACTCATTTGGGTTATGCTTTCGAAATAATATTGTGCTTCAGGTGGGAAAAGGAGATTCAATTAGATTTTGGCATGATTCTTGGATTTCTAACTATTCCTTGAAGACTATGTTTCCAAGGATTTTTGCACTGTCAGTTAATAAGGGGTTGTGGCTGATTTTGGGTGTATGTCTAATGGGGAGTGGGTGTGGGATTTACAACTTAGGAGGAACTTAATGGACAGTGAGTTTGAACAGTGGATGGAAATGATGGTATTGTTGGATAATTTTCAATCTCTGTTGAAGGGTGAGGACCGTTTGGCGTGGAAAGATAGTGGGGATGGTGTGTACTCGGTTCAATCTTGCTTTAGATTAGTTTCAAGTTTGTCAGAATCAGATAATTCATGGTTGGAGATAGTGTGGAAGGGTTTAGTTCCACCAAAAGTGGAGATATTCATTTGGCAAATTATTCATCAGAAGTTGGCTGTTAAAACTGTCTTAATGAGAAGAGGAGTCAAAAATATTGAATCCCCTTTATGTGTGTTAAGTGGAGTGGAACCAGAATCGGTCAGGCATTTATTTTTTTCTTGCGTCCAGGTTTGGCATATTTGGGTCAAACTCCTCCGTATGTGGAAAGTTAATTCAGTTCTCCCTAATAATCCGAAAGGCTTCTTGCTTTCTAGGTCGCAATTAAGACCAAACTCGTGTATTTGGAGATTTATCCCAGGAGCTGTTTTGTGGTCTGTCTGGCTGTGTAGGAACCAGATTGTATTTGAGAAAGACAAGTTTGATAGAGCTAATCTTTTTTGGTGAGGTATAGGGTGGCTTCATGGTTTTTAGCTAAAAACAAGGATGTGTCTATCCAAGTGGACAGCCTTGTGGGAGATCTTACTTTGGCGGATTTGCATAAGTCCCCCTCTAACTTTCGATCGTCAAGAGTAAAATGGTGCCCTCCTCCTACAGGTTATTTTAAGATGAATGTTGATGGGGCTGTTAACTTTGATTGGAGAAGAAGTGGTATTGGTGGAGTTCTTAAAGATGCTGAAAAGAACAAGCTGGTTTCTTTTTCTAGAGCATTAGGACCTTGTTCTCCTATTCTTGCTGAGATTTTTGCTATCAAAGTGGGGTTAGAAGTGTTTTTTGAGTCAGTTTGGAGGGACAAAGGAATTCTGATTTTGGAAAGTGACTCGTTTCTTTCTGTGAAGTGGATCAACAGCCCGGAACTTTGCCCGGTTCACCTTGTTGATTTGATTACAGAAATTCAGAAGATAGTTGTGCAGTCTAATGTTATCATTAAGCTTATCAGCAGATGTACTAATGTGGAAGCTGATTGTCTAGCTAAGTCAGGAATTGGTTAGTTAGTGAGGAGGTTGTTATTTTGAGTAGTGGTTATGGTGTATTATTTTGGTTATGGTTCTATGTTAGGTAATTTTATGTGATGTTTGGAATCTTATGTAATTATGGGTTATTAATATATTTAGGCACTCTTTTCCTCCTTCCGCTATTTGTCTCCTTACAAGAGGCAACTATGAGGGAGGTTTTTAATGAAGCCTTCTATTCCTATAAAAAAATATATATATATATGGGCATGTGCCAATACTAACACTGTAGAAAACAATCTTTAAGCAGTTAGAGAAGGTGTAAATTAAAATGTATGGGTATAAAATTCAGAGATATGAGACCCCAACAAACACAGTTATATAATATTCAAGAAGAAATCGGGTACAATTCAAAAGGTAAAATAAGATTGAAAAGAATAAAGATTCAAACAATAAGACAAATTAAAAACCAAGAACCATAGCATCCCTGTTTATTATTGAACAAGTGGAAAGATCAACAGAAATAGGAACATTATGTAAATAAATATTAAATTAACCAGAAGTGTCGTATGATAAAAGTGTCCAGTATCTAACAGCTCCAAGCCCTCTCTAGTATAAGTTCAAAAAATATTAGACATAGGATCTTCAGACCATACTACACAATGTAGGGGAAACACCAACAAGTATATCTACATATATATGCTGGTGTCACAGACCGTTCAATACATATTAACCCTCAATAGTTTCCAATCGCTGTATCAGTCTCATTATTTACAATGTTAAGCACATATGGCAGCTATCATTCTAAAATCCGAACAAGCCACTTTGTTGTTGAAACAAAGGAGTATGAAAAAGTAAAACTGAAGAATATAACCATCTGAGATTGACTGCCCCTTGAATCCAAACACAATTTACCTCAATAATATATAAGAAACCAACAGCAGATAAGACCTTGACAGTTTGAACTTGGCATGTTAAATTATAACTCCACCCATAAGATTTCAATAGGGATACCAACCAATGCAAATTACCATGTTATCAAGCACCTAACATCCCCTAGAACCATAAAATTATGATACAAAAGTCTTTGAATCTCTTACAAAGTAGAGGATCAGCTCATCTTCCACTAGTCATCTTGACAATTATGAAAATTTCTCAATCAGCTGTCATAGAAACAAAAAGGATTGCCAGAAAAAACTGTCTGCAACTCTCAAGATTTAACAAGTGGAAAGGGAAGAGAAGATATTGATGATAAAGTAAAATATAATCAATATCTCAAAGTGGCTGAATAACTACATCAATAAATGGGGATGTAAAAGCACCTAGAATTATGCACCAGATTACTTGGAAGAAATGCTATAATCTGTTGGGAGAACCGTCTACTTGATAGGTATATAGAAATATAAGAAAATGTCAATTTTTTTACAAGGGGTGAGTTTCAGAACATTTACGAGAGGCAATGACTGCCTATAGAGGGGTAAAATAAACAAAAATACAGAGTATAAATTTAATCCCTACTTTACCCAAACGTACAACTATGATTTTGCCCTGCAACTAACAATATAAAGAATACCACTACAACATATTATAAATCAAGTTTCTTACACAACTTTTATGAGGAAGTCTCAATAAAAGTGAAATTTCAAAGGATCCTATCACTTTTAATGAAGTATAGACTAGCATGATACTTCCAAAGATCACACAAAAAGGATTAATACTCATAGTAAAATTAAATTGTAAGAACAGTTAAATCGATAGAACTAAAGGAGTGGCAAAAATAATGAAGGTTCAAAACAAGCACAAATGATTCAGGTAAAAGAAGAGGGACAAATTATTTTAACTTGAGGAAAGCATTTCCTCCCAACACCACGTCCAAACATACCTCACTTATAACCTCATCAACCAGTTCTCTTGCATTTCTAATCTGTTCACTAGTCCCATCTATATGTAATGTCCTTTCTGTTGATGGATCACCTGGTGGTAAGTGCAGCGGGATCACCTGCACAAGAATAACAGATGAAATATTTGTATAAACTGTATTTGCTTGCAACAAGGTTCTGAAAAGAATAGTGAGGAAACTGCTTAAAAATACATAAAAGATGGTCCAAAATTAGCTGAACTCAACCAAATACACACCAGTCAATATGAAGCGAAAACAACAATATAAACTTCAAAGTAAAGATGATAATCATGATTCAAACCTGAATACGAGCTCCAGTTCTAGCTTGCATATTTTTAATTGTTTCACCACCTTTACCAATCACCAGACCAACCTGAGATAATGCACACATAACATATTATTTTAAAACAAGGTCAATGAACAAAGTAAGCAATTCTTTTACTCTGGTATACCTTGTTATTCGGTATCTTCATTTCAAAATGTTCACTTCCAGCATGTCCTGTCAATCTTCGAGAAACTATGCCAGAACCTCCTGCCTCAGCCTGGACAAAGCATTAAAGGGTATATTTATGTTCCTTGTACTCCGCATCAAGGAAATACATCAATTTCACATAGATAAAAACTGTAAGACGAAAAACCTCAGCAAGAACATCATTTATCAACTGCTCAGCCTTGGCTATTTCTTCAGCATTACCCGTGAGCTCCACAGGCCTAGTCACAGAATTAGGATCTGCATCCATATCTCGCTGGATCTGAATCTTTGCCCCAGATTGCATTTGAAGATTTTTAATGGTTTCTCCAGCTTTCCCAATAATAACACCAACCCTATTCTGTGGAATGTCAATCGTTTTGCTTGCGCCATGGTAGCTACCGTATGAAACCGGTATAGCAGGAGGAGCAGAGTTTGACATATGGTTTATATCTGTAATCATTAATTTTTCATTAGACTTTGCATCAACTTCCAAAAATCAGATATATATATACTATTACCGGCCGCAAAAGATTATATATACTTATAAACCCTAAATATAAAAACAATGAAGCTTCAGCTATTCAAGAAAATCTTGTTACAGGGAAGAAAACAAAGACAAGAGGGCTATACCAAAAGGAGCGGACATATATCCCTTATCGTTATCAAAGCCACCGCCAGAGCCGTTCTCGACACGAGGGCGCTTAGCCTCGGCGCCAACAGATGCGGCGGAGGCAGTAAGGCGAGCGGCAATCTCCTGAGCTCGCTGCTTGGCCATCTCGATTCCGTCAAGAGGTGGAGGCACGCTATTGTAGGAAGGAGGAGGAGCCGAATCTGGAGATGAAAATCCCGTAGGCCTCCGACCAACGGAAGACGGCGGTCCCTGGTCCTCGTATTTGCGCTTGTGGCTGCCTGAATCGGGACCTGAAGAGTACTGTCCGTCGTCTGCCATAGTTCGTGAAGGAAGAGAGAGAAACCCTAGTGGGCTAGAGAGAGTTCTGAGTGGACAATATCTAACAAGGAAAACTTAACCGGTGGATTTTATTTGATGTAATAGATATATATAAATCTTGGATATGGATTTCATCCGACTTAGATTTATATTTTTATTTTTTATTATCATAGGGTAAAAAGAAAAAACAAATTTTCAATAAGGGTTGTAATTGAGACCATACAGATCGTGAATTACTGAGATCAACTCGGTCAAGGTGATAAATATTTGGATCGAATGAACTCGACTCGAATTCTTAACGAGCCGAAACGAGTTACTTGATACTCGCCTCGAAAAGTTCGTGAGCAACTCGAAAATATAATATATTAAGATTTTATTTTTTTAAAAATAAATTATTAATAATATTAACATTTATGTGTTATTTTAAAAAATACAATAAAATTTCATGTATTTAAGGTTCAGGTTAGAGTTTGAGTTTGAAGTTCCAATTTAGTTAAGTTTAAGATTTTTTTTAATTTTGAACCTTTTCGAGTTGCTCACGAGCTTCAATTAAAGATTTCGAGTTCGAGTCGAACTTAAAAATTTTAAGCTCACGAGTTTTCGAGTCGAGTCAAACTGCATTACAGAGTTTTCAAATCGAACTCAACGATACTTAAACTCGACTCAACTCATTTACCCCCTAGGCTCAATTTACGCTACATGGCATGACTTGGGCCAAATGATCAATTCAAAATCATATATCATGAAAAATAATTAATTTTTATTTAATAATTAAATTTAAATAGGTATTTAAGTTTTTTTTAAATAAGTAATTGAATTTTATTTTAAGTGTATTTAAATTTTTTGGTCTATTTAATATTTAAATTTGACTTAGATGAATACTTTTTTGGATTAACTACTTCAAATATCATCAACGTTTTAATTTTATTAAGCACTAACTTTTGCTTTTAAATACAATTATAATACTTCGCCGTTAATGATTTAACGGCATGATAACATGACAACTTCACACCGTGATATTGCTGACGTGAAATACTCACCAAAATAACGTCGTTTTGACACAACTATTTTGATGCTCAATAAACAAAACCACGTCGTTTTGCTTAGAAAAAAATATTGTAGTTAAGATGATCTGAACCCGAGACCCATAAAAACTATTCTAAATGCTTAACCGCTGGGCTACCTTAAATCTGATCCTGCACCATCTCCAACCATTTCAAATAAAATTCCAACTCCATCTGCAGCTTTCTCCACCTCTCATCCGTTGGTTCTGCATTACCCCCACCACCACTGAAATTCAAACTTCCCTCAAAACTCAACGGCATTTCATTCATAGCCAACTGACTAATCCCTCTTCCTCCATATCCCCCTCCTCCCACCTCCCATTACACTACCTAACAACTCCTTGAACATTGGTGTTAAACAACTTCTCAGTCTCCCCTACGACCCCCACCTCCACATTAACTCCTCCTGCACCACCACCACCACCACTACATCCACCACTAAATCCTTCTATATTACCATTATCATCATTAGTCCTAACATTATAGTTACTATTGGTAATCAGAGTTCCATCGTTTAAAACTCCTTTCTCCTCCATTTTCACTCCTTTATTTCTAGCCCTTTTCTTAATGGCAATTGATTTCGGTGTAATTTTTTTCTATTCACTTTCGTCTATTAAACTAGTTTTATTATTGTTATTTTCATCATTATCTAAAATATTATCTTCTACTTTGCCAACAATATTACTCCAGATCCTACTGAAAATTTCAAAAGTAGCTTGATCATGAGGGGTTTTGAAGGAAAATTCTTTACCTGAACTGATCTTACTCATCACGGTCTTATATTTCTTCTTCAATTTAAGAAGCTTTTCCACTAATCGATTCTTGTAGAAGTCCAGCTAGAGTTTCGATTTGACTTGATAGTAAAACAAAGCCGTATCAAGATGATGATGATGGTGTGAAGAAGCAACACTTGAGTTCATTCTCAACGTTGAGTAATCAAGAAACCATGATTTCATGTTCTGCTATGAACGAGGATGATGAGTTGTCTTGTTTGGAACAAGCATTTCTTCCGGAAACAAAGATTTTTAAAAATTTGTTAGAAAAAAATAACAATAACTTAAGGTAGACTAGCGGTTAAGTATTAAGAATAATTTCTATGGTTCTTGTGCTCAAATATCCTTAACCACAAATATTTCAATAAATATTTCAAGCAAAACGGCGTCGTTTTGTGTTTATTGAGCATTAAAATAATTGTGTCGAAACGACGTCATTTTGGTGAGGCATCACGTCAATAACGTTACGATGTGGAGCTGTCATGTCAATGTACCGTTAAATAGTTAACGACGGAGTGGTATAATTGTACTTAAAAATAACCATTAGTGCTAAAATTAGCAAAATTGAAACATTGGTGGTATAAAACGAGTCAACGCTTAAAGGTTGATGATTTTTATAGTTAACCCTACTTTTTTTTTATTAAACTAAGTTGAATACTTGAATTTGATTTTTGTCTTTAAATTAATACTTACAATAAATAATTTTTTTTAAATATATTTAAATAATATATATATTAGTATACATAATAAAACAAAAAAATATCAAATAAAATCTTAAGACCAGATCCAACTAGTTAATTAGATTAAAAAGTTTAAATATCAAAGTGTGTATTGAAATCAAACTCAAATGCTATAGAAAACATACTTGCGGAGAGGAGGGGTACTTTGTTGGTGAGGGTGGCAGCTACAATCATGCAATCGGATTGGCGCGGGCTAGGCTTAAAAATGACACCGAAGCAATCGAAATCGAAGTGAGGTGCATCAGTCCGAAAGCACAGCAAGCGAGGCCGAAGATCATGGGCCAGAAGGAGCCGGGACGTGCCCAGTTCAAGAGGTCATCGACCTTGGAGATCACGTGTTCATCAGTCTTTAGAAAGGCCCTCAATAGGGACGTGGGTTGAGGGAGGAGCATATGTGGTCGGGGAGGAGGAGGATAGATAAGAGAGGGTGGGTGTAGAGAGATGGGCCAGGCAGGCGATTGACGGTGTTTTCGGCTGATTAGCGCCATTTTTCCAGCACAAAGAGGCTTGGTGACAACTCTCCCACTCAATTTATTCGTTCTTGGTGGCGGACTGGCGGTTATAAATAAACAGCTCGCTAGTTAACAACGTCAAGCCCGCTTAAAGTGAGGCAAAAACAATAGATTTGGTTCTATTTGCACGGATGAGCAGTTAAAGGTAAATTCCAGTACATTGTACGTGTATGTGGCAGCGATGTATTTCAATCAAAGAATGTGTGAATCATAATAAAAATGAAAAATCCCAATTTCATCTTATAAATTCATTGTAAACTAAAAAAAATTAATTTATTGAAACGCTGCCACTACTTATATAATTTCAACAAAAAAAATCATCAGCTAATCGATTGCATACAGTACAACCGTAGAAACGAAAAACTAGCATTTCTTCAAGTTGATGTAAAGAATAGTTAGAAATTAAATAACAATGATCATATTAATGAAAAAAAAAACTTTTAAACAATTAAAGTTGAAATGGTACAAGATTTTAAGCACATGATAATAATATCACCGGGACTTGATTCAACGGCATACATAAAGCTCCTTTTTTTTGTTACCTTCGATTTTGGGTTGAAGATCCCATTAGTCTCTCAAGGCAACATTACATTGCAGCCCTAACTAGAGAGTGATTGAGACTTCGGTTCAGAGGTTGGAGGGAGTTCTAATCAATTATACTTTTCTTCCACCTAAACACAACGGAATGGGGATAACAACTGCATCTATCCCTACAGAGAATATTTTAATCAGTGGACAAATCAGCAACAGATACATTGAACTCTGGTGTTGAAAGACATGATCGAAAATTTCAATAAATCACCAAGATTGTCTGGTAACCATGTTTGCAGCCTCTTCCGCATGATTAATTAGAGAAGAATTTGGAGAGATATCTCTGGCAAAATAATCACAAGCTTTGGTGGGTCATCTTCATGCATAATACATGTAAAGACTGTTCGATGCAGCACATGCAAGAGAGTTTTCAGTTGGATGCCATGCTAGGTGTAGCAACTTTGTTGTGAAATCAAATGCGTTTCCGTTTGCATCAACTCCAGGGTTATCTGCTCCTTTTACTGGAAATGGAGTCAAAGAGAAAGAGAAGCATAGATAAATAGGTGATAGATAAACCTCACACAGCATGCAAGTAAAAATATATAAAATGCTTTCCTGAATCTGTTATTGTCCTAAATCCTAATACACTAATAATGAAGCGAAAGCGCAAATCAGGGATTGATTATTTTTTTATGCAAAAGAATTAGATTAAACTGATGGGACACAAATCAAGACATCTCCAAATTTTGAACTCTGTAAGAAGGATGTGAAGCATGTACCTCGTCTGACAACACCAGAGAGACTACCAAGGGATCTCAAAGGCCTTGATGACGTCTGACCTTGTCTCCTGAAAAATTCAGTAATAACTTAGAATGGCAAATTCTGACAATCAATGAGACATTCTTTTGATACAGGACTTCCCAAACCAAGAAAAGGTCAAACAAGTCCCTTCAAAGCTACGCACATTATTATATTTACCATAGCCAAGCGGCCAAAAACATATTCCTTCTTTTTCTTCTCATGGATAAATAAGTACCCAAGAACATCAGAACATACCTCATGGGGTTTTTGCTGGCTTCCAGTGTTGTTGCTTCTGTGCTACCTTCAGAACAACCAAAGACCCGTAACAGATTGCTGAAATCACAAAAAGACACCAATATATATAATAATGTCCAGATCCTAGAATATAGTTGATGTTTAATTTAAGATGATTAAAACATACCATTAATATATATACAACTCCCACCCAAAAAAAAACACACACGCACACAAAATACCTGTACGACCCAGTAGCCACTCGAAGTCCATCTCCACTAAGACAACACTCAAATTTGTCAAAGATGGAATCATTTTCATAGAGATCACAAAGCTGCTCAAGATCCCCCAAAAAAAAATCAAATCCATCATGAGGAAATAAATATAGTGTCCCCATCTAAAGCCAACAGAAGAACAGAAGAACAGAAGAATATGTTTACCTTAGGTCTAAGATGTTCATGAACCTGGAAAGTTGCAACTGGACCAGAATCCATATTTATATCCCACAACTGACAGCCAAATCAAAACCTTGTTAAGAACAACAGAAGAGGTAGGACGATATATAAATGTAGAGATTCAGCTATTGTACAAGTATCATATCCGAAAGGCATGACACAACAACAATGGTAGCTTGAAAGAAAAGGAGTTGATTTCATATAGAAATTTATCAACCTTAAGGGTCATGTAGTCACGACTTAGAATATGTCTCCCATCCTTGGCAAACTTAATATCCGAGATTGATGCTATGATATCCGTGAAAAAAGACCTGGTGCCAAGAGCACCTTGTTCCTCAAACCTGTATCATTAAGAGAATACAATATAAGTGGCTAAAGCTAATGATGATTCCCCAATCCACCACAATAAATAAACCAATCAAAAACAAAAAGCACAGGACACTTACAATTTGCTGTGAGAATCACAGAGTGCAGACTGTCGCATATCAATAAGACGAATTGAACCCTTTGAACTACTGTATGCTAACATATTACAGTGCTTAGGATGAAATTCTGCTGAAGTTATCACCTCTGCAAGTATGAACCGAAGCAAATGAATTATGCAAACATGACAGATACATATAGTAGAAATTGTTCACAGGAAAACATCATAAAATTGATAGGAAAGATGATTGAAAAACCCAAAGAGTGAGATGGGGCCCAACCACCCGTCAGCCCCACCTCGACCCTCTCAAAAAAAAAAGAAAAAGATGGAGGGTTGATGGTTGGGAAGAGAAACTTGCAGATAAATAAGCAAAAAAAAAAAGATGAATGGGGAATTCAGAAAGAATTGTTTCTTCTACCAAAACCATATGCAATATAAAAGATTAATAAAATCCAAAGGGATCCAAAATTGCCAATCCAAAAGGGAAACCTCACCAGTCAAATCCTCCATGTTTGCAGGTTTGACATCCACAATGTTAAAACTTTGGTTGCTAATTTCCAGGTTCCAGAGATTAATTCGTAGATCATCAGCCGAAATAAAAGTTTCACCATCACTACAAATCAAGAAGAAAGGAACAATTAAATATTTGGAAAATCGTGAAAAAGCTTAGAAGATCAAGTTGTCAGGTTCAAAAGTCAAGCACCAGCCCTAGACGACAACAACAAAACATTAAAACCCATGAAAGCTCGCACTCGATTGACACTAAAAAAGGATGCACCCTATATAAGGATTAAGAGGGAGAGAAAAGATTGTAGCTAAATTAAATAAAATAAGTACACAGACCTGTTATTGGAAATGGAATTAATATGATAGTCATGGGCATGAGCATATATTCTTCGACATCTGGCCATAAGATTCGTCTCAATACTGGTTACCTAATTATAACAGAAGCGTTATTAGGAAATAGCGATCATTTACACAATATCGTTGACAAATCAAACACAGCCAAACCATTGTAGCATAACAAAAATAATGTGTGTATATATAAGCATTCTTGATTGACAACTACCACCGGCAACTGCAAAGATGGGAAACCCGTAGTTGGGAATGAGAAGTTATTGTCTATGCATCTTCCACTCTCAATGTACTGCTTGGAGCTGGTTGATATGCTTGAACCAACGATAGAACCATTTACCGTTGCTTTTGTAGAGTCCACATTCACGTCACATACCTTTTTTACCTTCTTTTCGTGTACCTGTCCATATTTGAAATGACATTATAAAAACGAATATATGAGCAAGGTTTGATTCGTAGGTTTGCTGAATTGCTGCTTTTGGGATACTGGTGTTGTACGATTACAGAGAGATTGTCAGGGTATTAATCTGCGTACAACTTCAATAAAAAAAATGCCTTTTACCTACCTTCCAAAACTTGATTGTTTTGTCATTTGTAGACAAAAGAAACAGAGCACCATTAGCTGACTGGCACCACCTAATTTTGTTAATTTTCTCCTCAATTTCCAAGCTCTTGAGATAGTCAAACTGCATTAAACCAATAAAATTCATTATTTCAATGGAATTGAAATCCAAAAATGTTTTAGCATGTAAATTATAACAATCCCTATGTTTATGCAATAAGTACCTCTGGTTCATGGCTCTGAAACTCTGTTTTATACCGAAATTCTGGGTGCCTATTCATTGGACAATCCATCTTCTCAAGATCTTTCCGCAGTCCGACATGCTACATTTTAAACATTTTTTTGTCAAAGAAATGTATCAATGTGTACCAATAAAACACTGGAGCAGCAACACGAACAATATAGTTTTCAAAATATAAACATGAAAACAGTGAGCAATCATACATCTCTAGTGTCAGTCCTTTCAAACAAAACCACACGACCCCCACGATCTCCAGTAGCAAGGTGATCGCCAGTTCTATCAAATTCAATAGAAGATATGATATCAACTGGAAAAGAAGAAAAAGAAAACGAAGTGATCAGATGAAGCAGAACATGAAAGACACATGAGTACTGAGAACATACCCATGACTGTTAGCATCATGGAAAATAATACCTACTTAAAATGTTCCAATTTTTCCCTCTTAAAATGGAGGATGGTAAAAGAGCAACATCATTGGTAAAAACAGTTTACATAAAAAATATACTTCCCACTGGCTCAAAACAACAGTAACTCATAGATCAAGTGACTCGCGCAACCAGATACTAAGATCTTTTGATTAGTTCACTTGGAATTTTTTTCTCCATTTTCTATAATACCTCCAATGTGAAAGAAATTACTACAATAATGGCATACTCAAAGCAAGCATACTTCATTATTGATCATGTTAGTCAATAGTCAAGACATCATAACCTAAAGTCAAGAGCATCAATCACGCATGCAAACTCGGTCCCTTACCAGCAAAGACTTGGTTAAATACCTTTTTCTCATGGTGCACCAGCCTTCAGTAAAACAGTAAACAGAAAACAAAACAGCCAAGCATGTATGAATAACATTTAATAGATTGAATATTTCAATCGTTCCGTCAATAACAACTAATCTCAACCTCAAATGTACCAATAATAAAAGAACACGAGCAATAGTTAAAACATGATTTAGACGCCATTGCTTCACATCACACTTTGAGAAGCTAGAGTGATGAAGCTAGACCTAGATCCTGACATTCTACTTTCATCCAACCGAATATATATCAAATTGAACTCGGGTATAACCAACATAAACAATGGAAAAGGAAATAGCAATGCGGAAAATCGATTATGCAATAAAAAATACTAAAATTATCATTAATAAATACTTAGGCATAATTAAACCCTAAGAGAAATCGAATTGAATAAATCCAAATATTACACCTTCCTGTACTTCCTCTCCGGCTATCCGTTCTCCGAACACCTGCGAGAATTTCCAGTCCAGTGGTTGTGGTCCTCCAACCGGAGCCACGGCTGCTATGGCACCACCGTTGCTCATTGTTTTCCGCACCAAAGAAATAAGGAAGAAAATTAAACAGATTCCTGCTCAAGAAATGAAATAAAAGCAAACTCAATGCATCAACGAGCCGATCTGACAATTAGATTTACAACAAACCGAAACATTTCATCGATTCGAAGCAATCTCCATTTCACAAATGCAAGCTCTCAATCGATCACATAGATAAGAAACATCAGCTTCCGCAATGAAAAATTATCCACATCTTCCTTCTCTCCCTTCTTTCGCAAATAACGAACATAGATTAGATATGTGTTTTTTAAGGAAAATAAACTTTGCAGGAAATGGATAGCGACGGGGATGAGGTTTCACTCTTTATTGCCTTCATCTCGCAAGTCTCTCCATAGACTGAAAACTTTCACAGTTTTTTATTTATTTTATTTTTTTATAATTCAGGAGAATAAAAAAATTGGAGATTAAAAGATAATGACAGAGCAGGAAATGCGATGTAGCTTTTTGGCGGATTGTTGGATGTATCTCCCCCGTCTCTTCTTTCTCTTCTATAGTTTCTTTCTTATTTGTTTTATGGGTAAAGTATACAATGGTCACTGAACTTTTCAGATACTTGCATTTAGGTTCCCAAACTTTTAAAACTTAAAACACAATCACCAAACATTTAGTTCGTTTGTAATATTGTCCTCCAACGTAACGGTCGTTTCACTACCGCTAGGATAAATTGTATAAATGGTCACTAAACTTTTTAGATGCTTGCATTTAGGTCCTCCAACTTTTAAAACTTACAACACAGTCATTAATTACATTTTAAACCCTAAAATCCAAAATATTTTAATTACATTCTAAATCTCAAATTCCAAAATACTTCAATTATATGCCCAACCCCAAATTCATAATACATTCTCAAAATCTACCATAACAAACTAAACTTTAAACAACAACCCTAAACCTTCAAAACATAATTGTTTCGAAAAAAATTAATCAATTATAAGTGAACAATAAGTGATTATGTTGGGTTTAGGGTTATGTTGGACCTAAATACTCAATTCAGTTTATAAAATAGTTGACTCAAAATTTTTTTATTTGAGTTTATAAAATTTAAATCAAGTCGAATTGAATTGAATTGAATTTTTGAGTTTTTGTTTAAATTTAATTATAAATATTTATCATATTATAATATTATTTGATTCTAATTCAGTTCAATTTATAAAATAGTTAACTCGAATTTTTTTCGATTTCAGTTTATAAAATTTAAATCAAGTCGAATTGAATTGAATTTTTGAGTTTCTATTTAAATTTAATTATAAATATATATAATAGTATAATATTATTTGATTCTAATTTAAATAGTTTTTTAACCATATACAATACATATATTTCTTCATATTTTTTTTTCATATGTGATATACATATATTATACATAGTCAATGGACTTGACTCAAACTTAAAAATTAATCCACTAATTATTACAAATTTTGAGATATTCGAGATGTATTTTACAACTCGATTTTTCTAACTTGAATTTTTTTTAAGTTGAGTTTATGAAATCAAACTCAAAGTCAATTTGTATCAAATTTTTGAACCAATTAAAGTCGAAAAATAGAATCGAATTGAGTATTGTTCACTTATAGTTGGTTAAATCCAACTTTTAAATCCTAAACCCAACATAATCACTTATTGTTATGGACCCAAAATGAACTAAATATTGTTGATTATATTAGGTTAATTGGTGGGGAAATTTAATATTAGGGTTATGTTTTGAGGGTTTATGGTTGTTGCTTCAAGTCCATTTTGTTATGACAGATTTTGAGAATGTATTATGAATTTGGAGTTGGGAATGTAATTAAAGTATTTTGGAATTTGAGGTTTAGAATGTAATTGAAGTATTTTGGATTTTGGGGTTTACTGATGACTGTGTTGCAAGTTTTAAATAATCACCCAAATTCCGTTGATCATCACAAAACTTAAAATAAAAATTGTTTCATGCTTTCGATTCTTTCAGTTTTTGGAGGAGCCTTGGTTGAGAAAGAAAAAAAATAAAAAAAGGTAAAATCAATAAGTTCCCATAAAGAAAGAACAAAATAAAACCTTACTTGGGGTTTTCTTTTGTATAATTGAAGCCTTTTCTTCTTAGTTATTCTGAACTAGTTTAAACGCCATTTAATTCTTCTAGTGGTAAGTAAGTTGTCTAGTCCGATAGGGATGAATTGTTTCCACTTTCAGTATCATTTATTGGGTCACCAATTTTGACTTTGATATCTAATTATATCATTGTCGCGATACTATTCATTTCACTTTCCTTCTTTCTTTATAGAGCAAATATGTATATAAAAAAAGTCGATCTCTTTTTGTTAAAGGTACGATCAATTAAGTAGATATACAACACTGACCCAGTATGGCGTATATATGCACATACAAGTTACATAGTTTCCATTGCCTTTTTGCTGCGTATGCATGTTTGTACGTGTATGTCAGCATGTGCATACATGTGTTGGAATGCAACGAGCACAAGTATAGTTTTGCTATCAAGAATGAGTGTCTATAATTTTTTCTTTTGTTCCCTTGTAGACAAACATTTGATTGATACGTGTTATATAAAGCCACTATTGGGAATCCCATGTCTTCTTCTGTTTGACAAGGCTTGTTATTCCAAGTCTACTGCTAGCAATAGCATGGTATTCCTTTTTGTGATAAGGTTTTGTTTTTATCCTTCCCCTGTTTGATGCTGATGTTAGTTGTTCAAATTCATTGTTGTGTAACATATATCTTTCTTAGGATTCCGTTGGAACAGGTTTTACCTGTCACTTCTTTCCCCCTTTTGATTTTCATTGCATCTGTATTTACTATTCAGAATTAACCTTCGGACAAAGCATGTTGCTATTCAACAAGGCAACTTCTTGGTTTCAGATTGTAGAACTAGGCAATTTTCTCCTTTACAGTCTTTGAATGAAGATTGAGCAATAGAAGATTAACTATAGGGAGTACTATGTCAATGTGTTGAAACAAAACTGGAAAGATCTATAGCTATTTGTTACGTTAGTTCCAGTGGCGGATCCAGAAATTTATAAATGGGTTCTAAAATTTTAATTTTCTTTTCTTAAAAATAATGGGGTGCAAAATTTTTTTATTTTTTCCATTTTTCTTTAACATATTATACTAAATTTCATTTTTTTCCCCCTAAATAATGGGATGCACTTGACCCCTAGGGGCTTAGTGCATCCGCCCCTGGCTAGTTCCCTGTATGTCTTGTGAAAGAGGATCAGACCAGAGGTGTGTTCCTATTTTTTCATCTTTCATGACCAGCGCCACTTGACCATCAGTCAATGACTCAATGCTGCAAATCAGCAAGAAGTTTCTTTGATAATCCAACCAGCAATAGGCATTCCCTGCTAGCAAGCATCTGCATTAAACTGATATTTGACTATTTACATCATCACCTAGCATTATTTGTGCCTATGAGTAGTTGTTTAGAACAGCATTTTATCTACCACTGAAAATAGATTGTTTTCCACGAACATAATTTTCCTCAAAAAAGGTTCCCTCAAGATTAGTTTTAGGACCAAACAAAACCTTCAAACCAAGTTGTCTTTCTGTTGTTTTTAAATCCTTGGAAATTCGAGATGTTCAAACCATCTCTTTGCACTTTGAGATTCTCAGTTATTTAGCATGTCTGGAAAATGTTTGACTTTGCTAGTCACTTAGATACTTGAATAAACCTCCATTTTCTTTTAGGACCATGGAAATGAAGTTATTTAAGAGAGACTCTATACGATGCTGTTATAAAGATGGACCATACATTCCTTGGTCCACAAGGAGGAATTCTGCTACCTGGCAAGCAACTAAAAGATCTTGCTTTGACATGGTCCTTTGTTGCTGACAATGCCATATGGTCACTGAGGTATGATTCTGAATGTGGAGATCAAGGCTTGGTGCAATTGCTTTTTATTAGAATATCTCATCCAACAGATCTCACAAGCCATGATCTAATTCCACAAGAAGAATGATAACCAGACCAAAGCTATCTCTTACATAAATGCATTCTCTGAATCTTGGTTTCCCTGTCAGTTGATCAAGTGGGTTACCAGCCAGACTGGGAAGAGCCTGAATGTTACCAGTCCTGTAGCTCTTCTCAGTGAGTTGCCTGCTATCTCTATGCTCTTGTCATTTATTCTCTCTTGTCGAGACTTCAGCACTTGTTTCAAAGGATGGTCCAGTTAAGAATGTGTCAACATGCTATGTGATGATACGGAGATATTTTGTTCTTACCATTGTCGAAAGTGGAGCATATGTAATCACTATACCAGCAACACCTGCATTGGATGTGTAGCTCATGATTTGTAGTTCTTCCCTCTTTCTTATATACTCTTTTGACTTTGGTTTCATTAAATGTCTAATGAGATGGTCTCATTTTCAGAGTGGCTATTCATTGTTGAGGATCAAGGAGTAAGAATATTTGAATGTGACATTTCAAAGGTTTATGCCAAGGCTGTGTTTGCAACTTGCAAGTCGAGAGTTGAATATTCGGATGAAAATCTTTCTTCCTTGGTTCATGAGAGGAAAGAAGACAAGAAAGCTGATAGTGTTATAGAAATGATTGATTCAATGGATACTGTTCCCTTGTCTACAAGTATCAATTATGTGACAACTTGGGAAGGGAGAAGCTTTTGCCTTTGGCTTACGGTGATGGCTTTACTTGTGGGAATGAGATTGACAGTCCAGGTTTGGATGAATATATGAGAGACATGGAACAATAATATTTTATTAAGCCAGCAACCTGACCCAGTTTATGACTGCAGAGTGTATGAGAACTCTATTTAACCGCATTTTGAAGTTGGTTGCATGTCGAATGTCGTAGAGGAGCAGCTTGTGAAGGGCTTTTGTGGCTGAAGAAGTCAGCATTCTACCATTGGACGATGGGTTATATCACTTAAGCATCGGCTCCTAATTTTTCATTTTAATTCTTCATAATATGGAATTGTAGAAGAATGATCATTGCAGTGTGGTCTACACAAAGTAATCATGTAGTAATTGAACTGTAAATAACTGCATTTATATCCTCTTTATTAGAATTACGTAATTAGATAAAAGCATGGAGAAAGTGGACTTCGTGATAATTCAGGTGGATTTTTTTTTAATAAAAAAGAACACGTGTCGGAAAATTATTATGGGATTTAGGTTATTTGCAGTAGTATGAGTGGAACTCGTCATGATGAGTTTCATATAATTTTTTCGGTTCATATGATGAGTTCCATACAATTTTTCTTCGGTTCGTATGATGAGTTTTAATTTTTTTAATATATTTTATAAAACTCGCAATTCGGATGAATTTCTTCACGTGTTATAGC